TCTTGTCCACGGTCTTATCCAGTTTCTGAAACGCACCATTCACTCACTGTGCACAGACCATCTTTCAAATTACCAGCGGTGCTGGTCGGTGGCAAAAGGCGCAGACAAACTCTTATCGGCTCTCAGAAAGGCATTTCTTCTTTATCATCAAAAAGGATGCAATGGAAAAGAGAGGGAGGATTACCTTAGCCGCTTCCGGATCAAAACTTTTCAAGATAGGAGCGGTCTCGAGCACACCGTACTTTGACTAAACCTACGGAGATGAAAATCCTTGATGACAACTGCTCAAGAAAAACGAAACATCCGGCATTGATCATTCCATTATTCCCGATATTTAACTTCACTGAAGAAGAGTGCGATTTATGCAAGGGAAACTGAGGCAAGGATTCGCTCGGAAGATAAGAATGGTTGAAAGTTTACCGGCTCGCCCCACAATAAGCATGGTTCAGCATAAAGTCGAATTTCACGCGGATAAATGTTGTGACTTTAAAAATCTGCACAAGCACGCCAAGGCAAGATTTGTGTCCCTCGTGATGGAGAAGTGGGATAAATTCAATGAAGGCGGAGCGTTGCACCATTTTTTGAAGATAAAGCAACTTTACATGGAGCACAAGGAAGAACGCACGAATCTCACAGTCAAGAGAGACCAGTTTGTGTTATCGCACGAATGTACGAAGTTTTGGTGGAGGTGAACGAAGCGAACGAGCTTGAACGACTGATCTTCATCAATATATATCAGCCGAAATCTTCCCACATATGAAGCTGGGAGACGAAAGTTATCCAGAATCCAGACAAATTCGGCGCAATTACACGAAAGACAGAGTTGCAGTATTGTGCACAACCTATTAGGTTTTTATGACCTTTCTGTACAAAGACGACAGCGGCGGAAGACGCAGAATGTGAACATAAGCGCAATTGCCCTTCAAGACAGAACTCATAGTGAGATAAAGAACGCCTTTATGGATCTGCAGGAAGATGGAGTCATCCATCAACACTATAATTAGCACAAAATCTCACAGGGAGCCGGACAAGCATACGTACTACAACACCCGACAACACGGAGCCCAGCAAGGAGAAGAAGACCGCACGTCACATTCTGGTGGCACGAGAACAGGTCCCGAAAGTGTTCTGTATCGGATCTGATCGGCAACAAGCAAACCAGAGACCTCTAGATCAGAGCGGAAGGGAGTTGAGTGACGTAGAACACTTCCCATTCAATTGCGGAGGGATCGAACGACACTTCGGAGATCAAGAAATGAAGGACAACGAATTGCTCCTCATGCGCATCTACTGCAGTGTTCGGGAAGCACTGTTCCGATGCTTGTCCGAGAATAAGAAGCGTGGCCGAAAGACTAGAAGTTCTCCACGAGGAAGGTTGATGTCTCAACTGCATTGAAGTGCACGACGCATTAAGCTGCAGAAAACGTCCGATCTACTTCTGTTGCAAGAGATCTGACTGAACCGTTGGCGCCACCAACTGAGCACCATGAGCGCCACGCAAGCATCTGCACCAAGCCCAAAGCGTACACCCAGAAAGTCCAGCCAAAGAAGGATCTTCTTAGAAGAATTGACAGATGCAAGGAGGAAATCATGAACTTGTGGAGTGCAACGCAACGAGTACAAGAAGAGGAACGGACACCAGATTAACAGTCACGGCCCATACAGCAAAGCCCCCCAAATTTATTACCCAAGTTTGAGGTAAAGCCTGAATCGGCTCATGCACGTCCCCAAAATCCCGCGTGGCAAGCTAGCTAACATACGTGTCAATTCATATTCAACAAGCATGTC